CTTGTATTAACAGTCACCCTTGGATTTAGTATTGAAGCAAATCCAGGGATGAGTGATTCTATTGGGCAAGATGAAGTAAAGCTCAACATGTCCTTGGCAGTGTCTGTGTTACTTGGTAATACACCTATATCAGTACAAATTTGTACAGTTCTTTTTGATCTAGATGTCAAAGGACCTACAAAAGCAGCCCAAAGCTCTCCATCTTGGTGTCGCAGTGATGGGAATCCCGGTATAAAAGAAGTAACAGGACACAAGGGAAGGAGATTGACTAGATTAAATTTATAATACTGAAGCTTGGGATCAGGAACTGAGGGAAAGCCTTTAACTCTTGAAACCCTGGGACAGGTTGGCAAGAGGGAAACCATTCCTTCTATTGGTCTCTGGTTTTTGTCACATAGATCAATAAGTAACAAGTGCTTCTCTTGTATCACTGGTTTAAACAGTTCCTCTTTGCATGCTGTCCATCTTTGCGGACAATACAATGATGGAAGACCGGGGATTAGGGAGATTGTTGGACACGAACTTGCCAGACTCACCATACTACTTGTATTAACAGTCAGACTGGGATTAAGTATTGAAGCAAAGCCAGGGATGAGTGATTCTCTTGGGCAAGAAGAAGCAAAGCTCAATATGTCCTTGGCAGTGTCTGTGTTACTTGGTGATATACCCATATCAATGCAAAACTGAGCGGTTCTTTGTGATCTAGATGTCAACAAAACTACATCAGTAGCCCAACCTTTCTTATCTTGGTGTTCCAGTGATGGAAATCCTGATATAGAAGAAGTGACAGGACACAAGGGAAGGAGATTGACTATATTAAATTTATAATACTCAAGCTTGGGATCAGGAACTGAGGGAAAGCCTTTAACTCTTGAATCCCTGGGACAGGTTGGCAGGAGGGAAACCATTCCTCTTGTCTGTCTCTTAATCTCACTAGACCCATTAGAAATTACTGTACGTCCCGAAGCAGAGGGAATTCCAGATGCACAAACTTTCTTGGGACAGGTCTGAACTAAAGTGGCCTCATTCCTTATAGCCCCTTGAATACTACAGGGTTTAATTGGGACAGTAAAAACTTTCCGATCTGTCAAGGGTTTGTGCTCTGAAACCCATCGCTCACTTAATTTCTGAGTCACTAATGAGGGAATGCCTTCAATCGGTGAGCATTTAGGGCATGAACCTAAAATCGGGACACCTTCTCTTTTCACATTTAAAGGCAATTGCCATTGAGATGCTGATTGTTCATTATCAACTTTAGCTGTTCTAATTGATGGTTTAGTAAAACACTGACTGCTGCCACTCTTTTGGGAAACAGAGGGGAAACCTGGAAACTTAGCCTGGATTGGACAACTTGGCTTTAACAAAACACTTCCTATGGCCCGTTTCTTCTTCTCTTCCGATGCGGGATGTGGCAGTTTTTCGTTCATTCCATTAAATGATTTCTCCCAGATTATTGTTCGATCCACTGACCAGGGTTTTTCATAACAGGGTGGGGATATGCATGGCATACCGGTTATGTTTGTCGCTCTGGAACAGGTCTCCAAGAAGCTGAATGGTTTACTGTACGACTCTGGTTTGGCATAACGTGGCCCAAAACACGCACCGACACAAAAAGGTATTTCATTCTCCATTTGTTTCATGTGTGCTTTTGACTTAAGATCAAACTTATTACTTTGGGTTTCAGTAATCTTTAGTTTATTTTCAACAGTTTGGCAGAGAAGGAATTGGTCGTCTTTCCCAGCCTGTTTTTCTTCATCATCAGTGTGTAACACCGCAGAAAAACTAACTGACTGGTCTGGACAAGCAGTGTCTTTTATGACTTCTGTTTCAGCTGATTTCTCTTTAGCTAAGCTTGGAAGCTCCTCCCTATCAGAGGGACATTTCATACGTCTCACTTTAGGCTCCTCCCAATTCGTGGTTCCTGCTGCAGAAGTATTTTGTGACTGTGGTGGTGAAAAGACTCCTTTGGTGGGTTTGATAAACAAAGGGCGTGGAGGTCGTTGTGAAACTGTGTTCTTATCTCTAAAAGGAGGGTAGATGGATAAATAGTCAACATTGGTTTTGGACATGACCGACTCATAAAAAAATGCAGATATTTATGTGTTTTAACACAAGGAGTTCAACAAATATGCATTACTATATAGCAGCTGAAATAGTGCATTTCAATTCAATGCAATTCACAACACATGTCATCTCAAGGCACTTTCCAGTTCACCAGATCATCCAGTCAGATTGATTCAATGTTTTCTATCTAAGGAAGACCAGCTGATTGCATCGACTCATTGGCCCGAAGCATGCTTGCAGCGACAGTGAAGAGGAAAACTCCTGTATAACAGAAAGAAACATCCAACAGAGCCAGACTCACTGTGAGCGCCCATCTTCTGAGGCCTTTAGTTCTTGATAGAGGACGCAAGAGTTTCAAACTATTTTAGCAAAAGCTTCTTGAAAAAGTATGGATTTTACCTAAATTTAAAGGTCAAAACTAATATTTATTTATCAAAACTATCACTTTTTTAAATAAAGTAATACGTCCAAAGAGTGGTGCAAAATAAAAGTATTCATTTTACAAAATAAAACAAATAATAAAGTATATAAATAATATATAAATAGTTGGAGACAAATTATGCAGCTCCGAAATATAGAATCATTCACTTCCGGTTACCATGGAAACGTGGAGGTGAAAGGAGTCTGCACCAATAGGAACAGTAGGTGGAAGTTTGGTGAGACGGAGCTCGGGTTTTTACCAGATTCATGCAGTGGCGCCTCAAGAAATGTTTCATAGGGGGGGCCAGATGGGGCCACAAAAAAATTTGGGTTGGCCACTGAAACTAAAAGCCATCATTTCAAGGTTTGAATCAACTATTGTGGTAAACCTGCCTGTAGAAACCAGAAAGACTTCAGTAACGCCTCCTCAGATCTTGGTTTATTATGTGATTTTTAATGTTACGTCGCTGGATGTGCAGAATGGGAGGAAATGCTAAACTGATGCTACTAAAATTTACACTGGCCAGTGGGGTGGCCAGGGAATTGCACAGGGTGGCCATGGCCACCGCCTGGTGGCTCCACTGGCCCCATGATGGAGCTGAAAACTGCTTCTTCTCAGAATTACATTCCTCTGATTCAAGCACAAGAAAAAAAAAAGAAGAGTAAAACGAGGACAAATCACGGTAGAGAGTTTGTGGGTCAGTGTCGACTTAAGGAAGCAAAGGGCTTTAAAAGCTACACAGAGGTTGCAGCTTTCTCACTTAAACATAGTCACCTATGTTTAAATGAGACTTTTTTGTCATCAAGCTCCCTTAGATTGATGTAATTTTCTATCTTCTGATTAATCTGTGTCAAAGGAACCTACAGTAAACAATATACTATGTCAGGTTACTGGAATCAATCTACCCTATTGTAAACTAACCTATGTTCACTTTTTTATAATAAAAAAGTAATGCCAGTCTTACTTTGTACAATCGTTCGGTACATCCAACACCTCTGGGTCAGAGGAAAAAACATTTTCCCCTCTACTTTAAAGCTTCCTCGACTGTAATCTAAATAGCTTTATCATAATCTTTAAAGGAAAAGTCCGGTAATATTCAGAAATCAAACTTCTGAAAGTACTTTCAATATGAAGTTATTGCATACTCTTCAATAAATGATCAGTGTTTTTAATTCAGAGTAATTTTCATGTGAATGTGCTTTACTGGAGGCATTCATGTTTGTCAAAGAACACTACTGCCACCTACTGGTT